CTGTACTAAACGCAATAGTACGTATAGTACAGTATGAAGAGCTGTACTAAACGCAATAGTACGTATAGTACGTATGAAGAGCTGTACTAAACGCAATAGTAAGTACAGTACAGGATGGAGGTACGTACTAAACCCCCAGTACAGTACCGTGAGCCAAATACTTACTAAAATACTGGAAAGTACTAATAGTACGTACTATACTAAATGGACCCTTGAAAAATATGGCCAATAGATTTTTTTGTTTCGTCAGCATTGGGTCCTCTCCCTCGTTTCGCGCGCACCTTCGAAAGGATTAGAATATGGAAAACGGGAAAAGTGACATCGGCGTTTGGTTCTCTTACTTGAACGCGCGAAGAGTTTCCGTGGTGCGGCTAGCCATGGCCTTCATCAGACGAGGGTCGTCCCACGACATGCGAGCAAGGGCCAGCGAGACCATGGACACGTCCTGCGGCCTGAAGTTGCCCACGCAATCTCGGGCGGCCTTGGCCAGGACGTCCAGAGCTCGGTAGGCCGCCGGCTTCACCCCGGGTGAAGAAAAACAAGACGAAAATAACGAGCGCGAAAAGAATGTCGTTGTTGTTGGTTGCTACATTCCTGAAAAAAAAAAAACCAATCAATCTCTATCGATAGAGAAAGAGCCCAGGAAAAAATGGCTATGAATCTGTCGTCGACATGAACAATGCTCGACGATGCTGGTCGTCAACCACATTCGACGTCAACGGTCCTCGACTTCAAAGGTCTTCGCGTGAAGGACGCTCGACATGAACGATGCTGAACATCCACAATGCTTGATGTCAACGATGATCGATGTTCGACATCAACGATCAGTGATTGTGGGCGTCAACGATGCTCGACATGAACGATATTCGACGTCAACGATCCTCGTCGTCAACGATGCTCAACATCGCCGATGCAGCACATCAACGATAATCGACGTCAAAGATCCTCGACACCAACAATCCCGACGTCGGCGATGCTCGGCATCATCAATCCTCGACGGCAACGATGCTCGGATGTTCGACATGAACGATCGTCGACATTAACGATGGTCGACGTCAACAATCTTCGACGTCTCGACATGGACGGTGCCGACGTCAACGATGCTCGACTTCAACCGTCCTCGACGCTAACGATCCTGGACCTCAACAAACTTCGACGTCAACAAGGTTCGACGTGAGCGATTCTGGACGCCAACAAACCCCGACTTCGATGACCTTCGATGTCAGCGACCTTCGACGTCTACAGTCCTCGGCGTGAACCATCTCGACGTCGACAAGCTTCGACGTTAACGATCCTCGACGTCAAAGAGCCTTGACGTCAAACATATTCGATACCAACAATGCTCGACATGAACGAAAGTCGACGTGAACGGAGCTCAAAGTCAACGATCCTCGCCAGGAACGATGCTCGACGTCACGGATCCTAGCGTTATGGACGACCCACGACATCAACCATCCTTCACATGAATGGTGACCGACGTCACACCAACGATCCTCGACATCAACGACGATGCTGGACTTTCCACGATGCTCGACGAAAACTATCCTCGTCACCAACGATCCTCAATATCAATGATGCTCGACGTCGGCGATCCTCGACAGGAACGATGCTCAACCCCAACGACCATCGACGTCCTGGATCCTAGGACGTCGTCGATCTTCGACGTTAACCATGCTCGACGTTACACGATCCTCGACGTTACCGATCAACGATCCTCGACGTGAACGATACTGAACATCAACGATGGTTGATGTGAACGATCCTGGACGTCAACGATGCTCGACATCAACCATGGCCGACGACAACCATTCCAACGACGGTCGACGTCAACGATCCTCGAGTTTTTATCATCGCCCCTCGCATTTAACTACCGCCGACATCCACGATTCTCGACAACGACGACACTGGTAGTCAGCAACAGTCGATATCAACTATTCTTGACGTAACGATCAACGATCAACGATCCTCGACATCATCGATCCTAGCACAGCATCGTTGAAGATCCTCGACGTCAACAATGTTTGACGTGAACGATGCTGCACGTCAACGAAATTCAACATGAACGACGCTCGACGTCAACGATCCTCAACGTCAACCATGTTTGACGTCAGCGATGTTCATCACGAACGATGGTTGACGTCAATAACCAAGGATGCTCGACGTGAACAATGCTCGACAAAATCGATGGTCGATCCTCGACGTCAACGATCAATGATTGTCGATCAATCGATGGTCGACGTCAAGGATGCTCGGCGTCATTGACGCTCGACGTTAACGGTCTTCGGCGTTAACGATGCTCGGCAATGAACGGTTTTGAACATCGTTGGCGCTCGATGTTAACGATACTCTATCCACTACATGCGACATGAATGACGTTCGACATCAGAGATCCTCGACGCCAACGATCTTCACCTCAGTCAAGCTCGACATAAACGATGCTGAACGTCAACGATGGTCGACGTCGGCGATGGTCGACGTCAACGGTCCCCGGCTAAACGATGTCGACGTCAACGATCCGCGACGTCAACGGTCTTCGGCGCCAACCATCTCAACGTCAACGATGCTAGACGTCAACGATATCCGATGTGAATGATGCTCGACGTTGACGACTCTCGACGGCAACGATGCTCGACGTCAAGGGTCAATGATGATCGAGGTAAACGATGCTCGACATCAATGATCGACGTCAACGAAGCTCGACCTCATCGATTCTAGCACAGTCGACGATGCTCGATGTCACACCAGCGATAATCGAAGTCAACGATGATCGTCGTCAGCGAATGATCGACATGGGAGGATGCTCGACACGTACACCAAAGGTCCTCGACGTCAACGATGCTCGAAGTCAACGATGCACGACGACCCGATGCTCGACGCCACATCAACGATCATGCCATCATTCGTACAGCGGCCAGCCGTTATAGTTCTGCGATTCCAACTTGCAAACATACCGCTGTACCGCACCATCATACCTGACAGGGAAGGCACTCCTGCGACAAGGAGCTGAAGCCCCACAACAGCATGGCAAGATCTTGAGGGGTTAGAACCACGGAACCCACTTCCACCTGACAAAGAAAAAGACAGTGTCGTGATGAGGCGATTGTAAGAAAAATACAGACATTCCCATTCACTTTCGACAAGTCGGGCGGGAAAAAAAAGCACCAGCGTTCCACAGCGGATGTATCTATTATATAATAGAAGAAACGCTTCCGATGCCCAAACGTAACAGTCCTGCTTTGAACCTACACCACCACCGACGAAGCGGACGCCGGCAGCCGGCACAACATCTCAGAGCCCGAGCTGCGCCCACAAAAAGAGGGTTGGGGTTAGCGGGGGGGGGGGCTGTCTGCAGAGTCCCGCCGCGTGGGGGATATGTACCCGGGGTTCTCCACGCGAAAGAATTGATTCTATTTTAAGTACCACGAGGCCGGCAGGGGGGTAGAAAAACACGCCTGCACACGTTGCACCCACACAAATTCTGTGCCCACTGTTAAAATTGCGTTTGTTGTTGTCAAATGTCTCGCCGCCTTGGGGTGAGAAAACTGCAGACACGCACGAGTGCCAACACAGCACCAAGACGAATGGAAAACCACCGGCGTTCACAAAAAAAGACGACAGAAACACCAGGAACAACGCATAACAAACACCTCGGATGCGCAGCTCCAGTGCTCTCTCGAAGAAAGAGCGGCGGCAGAAATAGGCTGCCTTCCAGAAGCAGCAGCAGAAGAGGAAGGCCCTCCTCCGATCACCCCAGAAAACCGATGAACGCTGCGCCTCTCCTTTGACTCGCCCTCAGTGACGGAGTCCTTCCCCGCATCTACTACCGCTGCCGTTCCTGATGCTGCTGATGTTGCTGTCGGTACCGGTGCCTGCAGCCAATTTGGGGAGTAAGGAGTGAAGGTATTCAATCGGTCTGGAGCAATGATCGCGAGGACGGCAAAGATGGTCAACATGTGCCACCGCGATGCTTGACCGCGTACGCACGTCAAAGGAGTTCGGGGGCTAGGGATGTAAGTCGTATTGTGGGGAACCTTGGAAACTACCAAGACAAGCTAGTCTACATAAAACGAATCTCGTCCTTTCAAAGAAGAGAGAGAGAGAGAGAGAGAGAGAGAGAGAGAGAGAGAGAAAGAACTTGATTTCCCTCCAGGAAAACACCACACAAATTAACCAGAGACCTGCTACGCGGTTCCAGATGTGAAGAAACGCCACCCTTGGTTCCCCTCGCTCCTCAGGGAATAAAAACAGTACCGCAATTGGTTGTCCTCGCGACCGGTACAAGGTGCTTCACACGGAACACCATACACCAACCTGGGCCGGTCACCAAGCCCCCCTCATTTCGTTAACATTGTACGGATGTGCGTGCTTCGTTGCCAGGCCCGTCAGCGGGCATTGTTTCTCCTTGTGGTTCTCCCAACTTTTACAAAAAACAGCGGACAGAGCTCCGGGATGGACACAACATCCCACGCAGCAGAAGCCGTACGCCCCGCCAAAACCATGTGAAGGCCTTGCCCCCCATAGGGACAGCGTGCATAAGCCTTAAAAACTTATCCCGCAAAACCACCGGGGGAGGGGAGGTACACAGCTATGCGGTAGTTCGTTAGACCATTGAGGGGTCGGGGTTCTACCTACTTCCAGGCATCATCACCGCCATCGATTCTGCCGCACCTTGCTAGCAGGCCCCGCTGCCAAGGAGGAGGAGGAGGAGGTGGAGGAGGA